AGTTAGTTAAGTTTATTGAATTCAAATTTTTAGAATTTTTCTCTTGCATAGAGGAATTGATTTCAAATTTTCATACAAGGAACTTTCCAAAGGTTGATGAAAATAAATCACTTTTGGGTAGACCCGTGAATCGTCGCCTATAGGTAATAGCTCTACTACATATTAGATTGGACCTAAAGGTCACAGGAAGACCATTCCTACTTCTATCTTTGTTATGCCAATTCAAAAGGGTTATTTTTGCCCTATCATTGACATTTTAATAGGGTTTTTTTTTCATTTATATTATTTATTAGTTGTTACTTATATGGTCAATATTGCGTGACATGGCAATGCCATATGCGAGTAACATATACTCCTCGTGTTCACTTATTCTGGTTCACTTATACCGTATATGATGATATATATAGGCACATATCATGTGAATATACATATGCATAATATGATTAAGTAGCACGTTCCCAAGCATATAGCTTATATACCTATTGTACGTGCGACCTACCTATTTTATGAATTAATGAATTAATCACCGGCGGCCTGCAATCGACTGATGTACATTATATAGGTGCTGTGTGGCACCCATCATACTGTATACCTGCATAAAGCGATATATTGAATTATTTATCGGCGATATTATGATTACGCACGAGACTCTATATGTGGTGGCGTGATAGTATAAATATAATGATGGGTGTGCGCGTGTGTAGCACGGTGGTTGGGGGGAGGGGTTGATAAAGGGTTGTGGTGGGTGGTGATCGAGATATATAATACACCGTGGTCGTGCTACCTATATTATATAGAAAAACGATGCGACCGTGTCGTGGTCGTTTTTTCAAACACGATTTTCACCGTCGATCGCTGAGCTGTTACTCCAATAGTAGCAGTGGCTACGCTCGGATGCGTGTACAACATAAACATATTGTACTATCATCAATAGCGTAATATTTCCCAATTTTTTACGAGAGCTGAAAAATGCCACCGGAAGGCGATGAGAACAGCTCTCGGACTTTACAAAATCCTCCGACACAGATAACTCGGGAAGCGGCATTCGAGTCATTCGAGGAACAGTTGCGGCTCGGCGCACGTGTCGTCTTACGACGACAGATGAACGACGGGCAACGCGATCCATCTCCTCCGGCGGCCGAAATCGGCACACCAACTGCTAACGAAAACCTCACCGCTGCCGAAGTCGATTTGACAATATCGCAATCGTCACCGCCTCCACTTCCGCCGTCACCGTTTCTCTCTGGACAATTCGAGGTAATGATCATCATTTATTGCAAGATCACTATTTTCACATCAAGAGAAACAATTCCCACTGGAAACATTGGGGGGACGGGGGGTTGGAGCTAGTTCCTCCAAAAGTCGTACAGGCCAAAATAAAAAAAATTGAAACATAATTTTATTTTATTATCATTTTCTAAATGTCTATAGAAGAGTACTGAGTAGGTTTATTGAATACTTTTTTGGTAGTAGTTGGTTAGGTTATATTCTGGGTAATATCAAATCTGATTGAAAAAAATTCCTTGGATGCTTTGTGAACTGCAAAAAATCATCATAATTTTAAGAATAAATTACAAAAACCGAAAAGCTTACTTCTGCTGAATAAAAATAAAAATAAATTCAATATATCATTGTAAGTACCTATAGGAATTGTTCGAAAATTGAACAACATAAAAAATATTTCAAATGCGTGAAATATTTCAGTATTTTAATACTTTTTGGTTTTTTTTTTAATTGTTCTTATAATTTATTGTCATAAATAGTACCATCAATGCATCGTTGTAGACAATAAGCCATTTTCTGAGAAAAATTAGCTATATAATTATTAATAATCGATAAATAACCATAATTAATATTTGTATTAAAAAAATTGTAATGTTCATGTTTTTGTAAAATATTTCACCATAAAGTTCATATGCAATATTGCATACTTCAATCACTACCTATAGGCATACATATAATTTGACAAAGCAATTCTGGAACGAAGGGGACGAACAATTTGAACATAAAACGCTGATAAAATAAAATTTGCTGGTAGCCATTTGCGCATTGTCTATTTACAAGGGCCAAAAATCATACATCGTTTGCACATCAATATATCTACCAATATAAGGCTATAAAATATATTTCAAAAGTTGTAGGTACCTTCATTATATATTAAAATAACTTAAAAAATACCAAATTCTAATCAAACTTGAAAATTCAACTATTTATTGTATAATTCACTCAATAATAAGTACGTAATAACTAATGAGTAGGTATGAATACTTACATAATTAAAATTTATTAACATTTTGAATATGTAATTATATTAATTATATATTATTATTTATAATTAATTAATTTTTACACTTCAGTCTGTTCGTAATATACATTTATATTTTTAAACAGAAAACATACTCGATATATTTTGAATATTGAATATTAAGAGCATCAAAATTTCAAATGAAAGTTAGTAAACAACTTACGCTTTTGGGCACCTCTCATCATCTGTTCTAATTAGGTATATTGTTAAACATAAACGATGCATAATCCAACATTGAATTTTATATTTAAATTGAAAATGTTTTGAAGTTTTAAATATAAGTTAATTCTTGAGTAGCGAGAACATTTTTTATTTTATTGTAAGTAATTAGCCACCCCAATAATAATAAGTACCTACTTTATTTCCGGCCATGACAAGTCATAGGAACATTATAGACTAAACCATGCATACAACCATACAGGCCCATATTTATGCGGACCCGAATGGACCATACAGGGGTGGACTGGGCCGGCGGGAAACCGGGAACTTTCCCGGTGGGCCGCTGTTCAAAAATAATTTGTTATTATTACATTACTTATTACTTAAAATAAAATAGCCAATAGGTATAAATTCAAAGGATGAATATTTTATATTTTCATATTATCATTACACGCGTGTATGAAAAATTGTTTACATTTGGTGTTTAAAAATAGATTTTAGGTTTTGGTTCGGCTGATACTCCATCAGGAGTTTGCGTATGATCAATAATTTGAATAATCTATTATTTTAGTAATGCAAGAAAATCTTTGCAATCAACCGCAAATAAGCATTAAAAATGTAAATACGTATCTATTACCTAAAATTATTATTTTTCCCTAGTATTTTTTTTAAATAATAGGTATGCAATATGAATATAATTTATTTCCAAAGGAAAAATGAGTTAAATCTAGTTATAACTAATAAAAGTTAATATACTACAATATAAGTGTCATAATATTTTATATTTTTACATAAGGTATTAAATATTATTAATAATAATTTATTATGTTATGATTAAATGACTTTTACCAATATATAATTTATTTGTGAAGTACTTCATTAATATTAAACAAAATTAAAATTACATATTGAAACTATTTGGTAAGTTTAGTTTAACAAATCTTAAGTTTCACACGAGTTCCGAACCCAACAGTCCCAAAAACCCCTGGCTAATAACTTCTTAGTTGATGCCATAAACAATTAATGAAAAAAAAAAAATCTTAAGTTATTTTCTGGGAAAATTGAAAATGTGTAGAGGCTGCATTCATCATTGAATAAAACGTTGGTATATTTAAGTTTTTACATTTTTGTGATGACGAGAAATGGCAAGGGCCGGGTCAAAATATAGATTTCCCGGGCAAAAATGTTGCCCCAGTCCGCCCCTGGGACCATTACCCCTTTGATGGAACTTGAGGACGATAAATTTGTACGAACTTTTTTTTTTATGTATTAACTATTAAGCCAACATAATTATAACTTTAAAATTATTTAAAACACATCTCAATAATAATTAATATGTTTATTTTACTTTCACGTAATACATATTTGATTATTTTTTGAAAAAAAAACAAATAAACCAAAAACTGTAGGTTAGAATAAGTTAATAAACCAACTTATTTATTATATATATTACGATGTTTTGTTGCTAATAAAAATGTATATTATTATATCGTTTAAAGGCGTGGTGCGCGATGGTAAACCGCAACATTATGCGTATGCTCAAAACAGAAAATCACAAACTTCGGAATAATATAATTTCCAGAATAATGATTTCTAAATTTTTTTTTGCACCATAGTCCTTAAATCGTTATAATACACGCTTCAAAAAAAAAAATCAGAAAAACGAGAGGTTACCAAAGTAAATTTTTTCCTTTATTTCAAATACGAGTTAATATTGTATATACATGAATTCAACATTTTTTTTTTGACACTGGACATCATTCCTCCTATCTTGCCACCAAAAAATAAGTGGAATTTTATAACCGGTTGAGAACCACAGGGTTATACATATGGGTATATTTACCTATATCAATAATTTTACTCTGATCTGATATTATAATAAATGAAATATAGGTATAGTGTCTTCAGTTCACATAAATAATAATATCACTCCAGAATACAATATGTGGTGATATATACCTAATGTTATAATTAGTTGTGTTTTTTAAACTTTTTTCTGGGGGGAGGGGATTTCCAACAATTTTTTTTTAGTTCTAATATGTTATGGGTATTAATTAGACAACTGTTATTTATTTATTGTTATACTTAACGTCTCTGTATAAACATTTTCTACATTGTATTATAATATCAATTTCAATTTCAACATCATTAGTTATCCTTTTTTAAGGGGAGGGAGGGGGGTCTAGTACGTCCGTAAATACGCTAGGTATAATATATTTTAAAACATTTGAGGAACTTTCTAAACTTTCTACTGCAGTGTTTTATTTTGTTTTTTTCGCAAACTTTAGATAAGTGATATTATATGAGGGGTGTATAGAATAGTTCACCAATTATCCGTGTCTATAAATATTTTGAGGGTAAAAATAATATTCACTCCCTCACGTGAATGAAGCTATATAATTATTTTTCACCTACGCAAAAAGTTCTCACAGCCGATATACATACCAATTACCTACCATTAATAACATTATAATTTAGTAGATACTGGTTAATAATATATTATGCTGTTATGAATGTTTTATACATATAAAGCATCGGAATTCTTCAACCAAAATGCACGCTGGACATAGAAAACTTGACACTGTTGATTTTGTGTTAGCCTATAAAAGGCAACGAATGGTTACGGAGGACGGCAGTAAACTAGACGACGAGACTGAAAGACGAAAGTTTTATCACGAATTACGAGCACATGGGATTTTGGTAAACATCGACGACGATCCAACGGTCAGTATTCGTTAAAACTTAAAATAAGATTTTTTTTTTATTATATAGGTAGTATTACTAGATTAAAGATAACATTATAAAAATACTTATATCATTTACTTAGATATAAGTACCTATACTTGCCTACCTACATCTTTTAACACATATTTTTATAATATTGGTACTTATAATTACTTAAATCAAGGTTAACTTATGTTATGTTATTAAAAAATTTTCTACATTCAATTTAAATTCGCTGATGCTTGATTTAAGCTAAAATTAAAAGCCATTTATTGAACATTCAAAATGTTGTTATCATTGCTTATTTTTGTTATATTTAAGTGTTCACTAGATGCAGGCCGGACGTGCTTTGCTTTGCTACAGCTAGAGCAGAGACTCTTGGGATGCAGTTGTCGGTGTCATGCAACCAGTAGCAGTAACAATGAAGATAAACAAGCAGTTAACAATTCGAAAGATGTTAATTATAAACAGGTATGTGTAACATCACTTAAAATCTTTAATTTCAATGAAATTTAGCATACATATATTTGTTACAAATTACGACTATGTCGTATGTCCTATTCAAATAGGTAGGCATGAAAAAATAGTATTAGGCTAAAATATTATATTGTTGCCAATTATACTGCAATACAAATGAGCCAAATTGACCCAGAAGTCCAAAGACGACATATTATTAACCATAGGAGTGTTTATGGGAGAGGCCGGTTGGGCACTGCCCCCCCCCCCCATCCCCGGCAAACTGTATCACCAACAAAATTACGCCAGGGTGAAAAAAAAAGTCGTGCGGTGTGTACCCTCCACTCTGCAGTACCTATAGATTTTGATTAATTGTAATTTTTGTAGTTACGCATTTATTAATTAGTGATAATATTATCATATTATAATATTATATTCATAAATTCTTAATAACTACTTAATATGGCCCTGTTGTGCCCATTTACCAGGTCTTGCGCTGTGATATCACAGATTAAATAAAATATTATGTAACCTGTGATAATATGGTTTTATCAAATGAAAATATCCAATTACTGATTATCATTTCAAAAATGTGTTTAGATATTTTTCACCATTGTGAATTTTGTAACATAAAAAATGAATGTTTCTTCACGCCTAAAAAAAAATAGGTCTCATCACAATTTAAAATTTGTAGTGCCCCCTCGACCACCAACATCTGAACACATCTATGTTATTAATATAACATAGGTAATAATATTATGTATAGAGGGATATTTGTAAAAATGTAATACCATACAGGGGCAGGCTCAAGGAGGGGGAGGGTATTATATATCCCTTTTGCTTATAGAATGTATAGTATAGAATATATGATAAAGTAATGGATGTATGAATGTATGTTTAACTACGTGGTCTGGGAATAGTCAACAATTCATATCTCCCCTTTCAAAAAAGCTGAGTAAACCACTAATACCATGAGAAATGTCTATGTGAAACCATACAGATACCTACCTACGGACCAAAAGCTACAGAATATGTTTACGCAAAAAATCTGATTATTTTGTCGTATACCAATACAAAATAACGAGAAAATATTATAAAATATAATACTGCAAGCATCAATTGAATAGTATATACCACGAGAGACAAAACAATAGATAATAATGTATATAATAGCCATTATCCATTTTTCGTCTGAAACTATTAATTCTAAAACAGAGTTTTGCAAAATATTATTTGCTCTCTCAAAAACGTAGATAGTTGTACCCATGCATAATCTGCATATGTTTGAATAATATAACATACTGTTTAATTGTGGGGTCTACTAATGTCTATAAGTATGACCTACCTGTATTAGCAGTTACCTAGTAGTTAACACTGACTAGCTAAATAAACCAAATTAAATCTATTTCTTAAATTGGTACGAAATTGAATATTAATTCATTCATGACTAATATGAAACGGAAATAGCTCAATTATGTAGATTGATTGTTTATTGATATTAATTGAAGTAGGTATTGAATACAATCTCTATATTCTACTTTACAATATACATATTCAGATTATATACAGAATATACATATTCATTCAGGCTGAATAATTCAGCTACTCAGCTACATCATATTAAAATACCTATACTAAATTAATATTTTAAATAAATCATAATATAATACAGATAATAATACTTATAACAGTAATTATATAAAAATAACTAAGTATGAAATTCTTTTTCAACAATTTTACAATAATATAAACTCCGTTTATCAATTAGTTATTTTTTATTTTTATGCACACAATAGACAACTGTTACATATAATGTAGAGTATATTTATTAATATTTTTTCAAATATTTAGATTTTTTAAGACATTTGAGAAGTTTTCAGTGGCGAAACCAACTCCTTTTTTTCAAATAGAAATCATGTTTTGATTATTCCTGAAAATTATTATTTAGAAGACTTTTTGAAAATATTGATTGAATTAAATCAATGCTTAAATCTAACCTCACGAGTGTCCAAGTTATTTAACTTTGTACCCATACTAAAGATAATAGAATCAGGATAATGAGTTTGAAAAATATGGGGGCTAATTTTAATTTTAGTTTAGATACATAAATCATTTAAAAAAAAATCATTGCTTAACAAATTAAAAATATTGGTTCTTATTTGAAAAAATAATTTTGTATCGCCAGAAGCCACTCCTTAAATAGTAAAAAGTCTATGTACCTATTTGAAAATATTATCCATAAGTAATAAATTATACATAAAAAATACGAAAATAATTTATAATCAACCCATGAGACATACTGTATAGGTATTATAATGAAAAACTTGAGGACACCCAACTTGGTGGATCGCCCGTATATATACACAAAACAAAAAATTATAATCACACAATTATAACACCATTATTTTAATGCTTTTAAAATATTACAACAATAAATGGCTATTTACCAAGCTATATTACCTACTTTAAACCATTTGATTTACTAGAACAATATATTTTGTAATAATAGGTTCAGCCGGTTCAGGCAGTGTATAAGTATGCATATTTTATGACTACTGCAAAGGCTTGCGTGACTTTTTTAGTTAGTAAACTGGTATGATAATTAATAAGTATTAACAATGTTGATTTTTTTTTTTGATGATCTTAATGCCATGACATTTTTTATAATTATTAGACTCTTTTTGTTGCAGTATCCAAATGGAAATGGTAATCACGAAAAACATAATAATAAATTAACATCTGCACAACGGGCTCAGATCGTGTGGCGTATCTTACTCCGAATCGGTTCTGGTAATAAGAAGGGCGCAAAAGTTATGAGTCTTGAACAATTGCTCGAGACCGATATAATTTCTGCCGCCTATCCAATACACGACGGTAGTATTAAACTCGAAGACGGGGAAGACGTGAACAACATTAATGATAGACGGGTGAGTTGACACAATTATAATAGGTGCATATTTTATAGACTAGATTGTAAATACCTAATACTTATATAAGGTCCTTTTTTTATTAGTTTAATAATAGTTATGCACTTATGCATATAATATTGTTTGCAACCTTTTCCATTTCCATTTCTACTTCGTTTTTATTTCGCAAAACCTGCAGTTTACATACATCAGATGTTAATTATTCATTTTATTTTTGTATTAGTACCTATATCTGACTACCTATAGTACTAATATAATAAAATACAATACCATTTTTTAACAAATACATCACAATAATAACATCGAAATATGCATGTGTAAAAAATCTAAATTATGCACTATAAAATAATATAATCTATTTAAAAACTATGTATTTTACTAAACCTATATTAAGTTTTACGTATAGTCGTATAGACTATACTTTACTGTGACGTAGAAAAACATAATATTACAATAATTGATACCTATATATTATAGTATATAACCAGTAGGGAGTAGATATAAATAACTTTCTCTTTCACTCCTCATACAATATTCAAATTCGAACTAACTTAGCTGAAATAAAATCAAATCTTATAAAGTATAAACACATAAACAATTTTTTTTTTATATAATATATAATATATGCAGTATTTTAGAATCTGAAATATATGGATATCTATATTTTTTTATGTAATAGCATAATATTTTTTATCAGAAAAAGACTTTTTAAAGTACATAAATTAAGTTTATCAAATGAATAAATAATACTGATTTGTTCAAAATATTGTAGCTATATTATATTGTACGTCTAATGAATTCGAATTTGACTCAATGTATTAACTTATAGCCAAAACAAAAAAAGGTGAACAAATGGGTACCGCTGTGCAGCACAGTAGTTGTCGGCATGTCCACGTAATAAATCCATATACCTATTTGAATTCAATAAGAAATCATTGTATACGAAAAACAATTTCGAGCGAAGACGTTGAGTCATCATAGAATACCTGTTTATATATAATTAAATTTAATAGTTCATTTTACACATATAGAGAAAATGGTCATTTGGCTAAGAATTCTAGTGTTTACAATTGGGTATTCGTTTTCGAATTACAACAATAATTGATAGTTTTAAATTCGTTAACTTACCGGAATAAATCCAATGTAAATTTTTTTAATTCGAAAGCTCATAAAAAACGTATGTTACTTTCAATTTTTTTGTTTATGGTAGAACAATTTGTAGCAAATCTTCCATTAAAATATCTAATGTTAGCTATAGAAAGAACAATTTACACTAATTTCCAAATAAAAAATAGTTTGAAAATTGTCGAGATTTTTGATAATTGATAAATTTTATCAACATTTCAACTTTAGATTCATATAAAATATAATCTTACCTTTGTATATTTAATACTTCTGAACTTCTATTAAGCAAACTCATGAAGATCCTTGCATTCAAATGATTGTCAAATATAATTGTCAAGCTTTTTTTACTAAGTGAAAAAGTTTTTATCCAGAGTAATTTTAAAATATGCACAATATTCAAAAAATTTCTCAATGCTATAAATAGTTTTAAAAGAGTCAAAATATTTCAAAAATGTTACCATACATGAACTATTTAAATATAAAAATTTGCTAAAAATTTGTCCACTGTTATTAGTTTTTGAGTTATACCAAAAAGATAAAATAGATTTTGTCAAAAATTAGTTTTGTGTAAAAATTCTCTCTTCAAAAACTACGAAGAAATTTTTAATTTTGACTTCTTAAAAATACCAACTAAATTAAGTTTTTTTATCAAAAAAGGTGCTGATGCCGAGAATCTAAGCATTTTTACAATCCCAAATGTTTTTAACTGACAGAAAAAAATCAACACAGATCATTGAGAAATCAATAAATGCACTCGCTATGTTCAGAATCTATAAGTGAAATATAATAAATTCTTATTACATATTTTTATGTTTTATATTTTATTTTTCTAAAGCATATATGGTACCAATTTATTATGACTTGAGGATTAACTAAAATTCTAAACTCTAATCATGAAAATCTTAGCGTATGTGTGTATACACACTTATATTATATTATATTTATTTTATACATATATATTATAATATTTAATAGACCTATATCCTTTTGTTTAAAATCCCGAGTGAAATTTTTTTTTAAAGAAAATAGAAAAAAGGTTTTAAAATACTCTTTTGTATTCATTTATCAATTATTATTCTTTACAATAAACTGAATTAACACACATGTTAGGTATCAAAAATAATTCTGAAATAAAATATTATCTTGTGCTGTAAAATATTTTTTACTAATAATTAATTAGGGTAATATATTTTTTAATATTTATTTAAATAAGAAAATTCTGTAGTGGTTATATTACAATACCTATATTAACCTATAATTAAGTGTTTGTTTCTGAATAATTAATTTAATACCCATCAACCCACTTTAGTAGTAGACTTTCAAGGCCCACATAAAGTATTCGTAACTTAGACAAACGCTGTCGATTATTAAATGGTTTAATTGATTCATAAACTGCTATAGGTTTTGTACGAAAACTGGGCTAGACCAGGTCTAATCATACCCCGACAATGGAAATCTGATGAAAACATTACTACTTTGATACGAAAGTATTACGGCATTCCAGTAGCTGTTTATTTCTGCTGGCTTCGGTACTATACAGTATGGTTAGTTGGTCCTGCCATAGCTGGACTAGTGTGGTTCCTTTATGGATTGATAACGACTCGTAGCGATGTGCCAACGTAAGAAACCTTAAAATTAATACAAAATGAACCAGATTTTTTAACAATAAAATTATATTTTTGACGCACTGCAATAATTATATTGTTTCCACTTATTTAGCCACGACATTTGTGATCCAAAATCACAAGTAGCCGATTGGATCTTGTGCCCAACTAGAAGTTGCAATGCGAGTTTCTGTGGCTTCACGCGGGTACTGGACACTTGTGGACTATACAGATGGACATCAGCTGCGACTTTCGATAGACCGGGCGCTGTAGTGTTTGCGGTTTTCATGTCATTTTGGGGTGAGCAATGAGCTAATAGAATTTCATTGTTGATGTATAAAAAATTATACATTTTTATCTTTCACTTGTAAAATTGTTCTTTTTGGTAGTTTTTAAATAGGCACCACCTACACAAAATGCATAAATATTTTATAACTTTTAAAATATTCAGCCTTTCAGTTCAACTAGGTTAGCTAACTAGGTGAACTTTTAGTTTTTAAAAGACAATATCTACTCATTTTTAATTACAGGAATTCGAAAAGTTTTTTTTAAAGAACTTGAGAGCTAATATTTTTTGTTTAACGTATTATGAAAAATAAAAGCTTTAAATGTATAGTCTCTAAAAAGTTCTCATATAAGCTTAAAATATAGCCCTGACATTTAAATGTAAACACGTAATTATAAAATATGTATAATCTTTTTTATAACTAGGCACCTTGATTAATATTAAATAATATCCATTCGACCTTCAAATAAAATGGCAAGTTGGGTTAAAAATTAAAATACCAAGTACAAAACACAAGCTAATATTGGTGGGAATAGTTTTTTGCAGAATCAGTGCTAAATTCTAATCATATTTAGCATTCTAAATTCGGATAGTAGATAAAAATGTATTAGATTTATATAATTAAATGCAATAACAGAATTCATAGATTAGGTCCACGCAATTACATAACATACAACAAATTAAAACTGTCTACCGCAGACAACCAGCATTGAACGTTAAACGATTATTTAGAAATTAATTTCTTGTTAATCCTTGAAAAAACCTTTGAAAAGCTAGGAGGTCCAGACATAAATCTTCACTCAGTACCAACCGACGATCAACCTAATCACCTCAATCGCCTAACATCAAACTCGTATGTGTATCGTGCCCACAGCAGGGCATTCCTAGACCAATTTGTGGGGGCGAGAGCTATATCTAAGCTTTAAACTCGGTATTTAAATGTAATTTTAAATTTCTCACTATAAAATGTATATTTATTTTCAAAAGTACGTATGCATTTATAGCATGTGAATTCTCCGTTTTACTAACTTGTAGCATGGTCAATGTTAAGTTCAGATTAATTCGTTTTACTTTAGTATAAACAATACTTTGATTTTCAACTTCAGTATCATTTCTGTAGGGAAAGTGAATCTAGTTGGTGCAATCGGGAGGTCAAAATAGAAAATTCCCATAATATTAATTGTTGTTAATGGAAATTGAAAAAAAGAAGTTGAGAGTAAATCTTCAGTAATTTTTTAAGTTAAAATTTTTTTTGGATATTCACCGGTAAATTAAAAGTAGTTTTAAAATTAAGTAGGATAAATAAAAAACACATTCAACATATTTATTATAGATTTCATAGTTGATTGCGGATGTAGGTATTATAATTAAATTCAATAATAATTAATAAATAGTTAAATAAGAAAAAGGATTCTGAATGAAGTCTTTGTGCCGTCCTAGCACATACTTGTATAAATAATTCAATTTAGTCAATAATAAAAAATAAAATTAATAAAAATCGAAAATATTAATATGGCTATTTATAGCTGAAAAAGAGTCAAAATATTTTGAAAACTTTACCATGTATGGAAAATATTAAAACTTTCTAATAAAAATATTTTTTGAAAAGTTCAAGTAGGTATACAGTTAACAGTTTTTGAGCTACATAAAAAAAATCAAATCGATTTTGCGAGATATTAATTTTGGGTAAAAATGCCCATTTTTTCCTGACGCATTCAAAAACAACTGAGCTTTTTTAATTTTTACCTTCCAAATGCACCAACCTAATTTACATTATTATATGACATAATATCAACACAAAAGAAGCTGATATTGAAAATCGGAACTCATACAGTCATACCCCAAGGCCCAAATGTTGATGACACATAGAAAAAACGCACCCATCATTATAAAAACTATACATTTATCGATACACTCAGAATCTAAAATAAGTACTAAAATATAAAGGTTAAAAAATGTGTTTTAATTTGTATAGTATGGAGTAAAATATGTTTTAAATATTTGCTTTATTTTTGCAATTTAGTATACGTTTAGAGACCAAGAATTTAGAACGTCTACGCAAATGCAACAATGATTTTTTTTCATATTTCTAATATTATAAATCGTATTAGTTAGAATATTATTTATTCGCCTTTCCCGTAAAATTTTTTTGATATTCTAACTAAGCAAGTAGTAATAAGTATCTTTAAACTAACAAAAAATGAATAAATTTAAAATTTAGATAACCTATTTTAAAATTATAATATAAAAAAGGTGGGTAGTGAGTACTACAAGTTGCACAGTAAGTCAGTAAGTGTCTTGTGGGTCACAATAATGGATATCGTGTTGAATTTGAATTCAATGATATAAAAATATAAAATAATTTTATTCGAAAAACAATAATGCTGAGCTAAACCATCGGCCTATATTTCTCGAGTATCAATATATTTTATGATATTATTGCTATTTAAGTAATTTATTTTACTAAAAGTAAGAAAAATCTAAAGTAGATTGAATTAGTTTTTGCCAAAAACAATACATTTAAAAATGTCATTGTATTGTATAAAAATATAAAATATTTTAATACACAAAATACGTTGAAAGTTTCAAGTACCTACTCATAAATAATATTTTTAAATTACAACAAAAAAGCTAAAATTAAGTTATTATTTGGTTAAAATATATATCTAATGTCGTCCAAATTTAAACTTAAAATATCTATAAGAAAAACTGCGTTTTATATTTTTGAGATTTTTGGTTACAGTCTTTCTTTTGACAAATTTTGTATTAAATTGTCAATCCTTAGCTATAAAAATGAAAACTTTCGACAGATTTTTTAATACAAAACAATTAGCAAATTACGGTGATTTTGGTGAATTATGTCATAATTTAAAATTAAAATGCTTATAAAAAAAAATTGTAGAAAATCTTAAAAACTTATGAGAAATCTTGTATTATATTTTCGAATGTTAAATATAAATAGATCATTTTTTTTATATTTATATTTATAAAAAATTGTAATTTAAAATAACTATAAATAGCTTAGTAGAAAATCATATTGTGTATAGAAAATGAAAATACAAACATTTTCTGAAAATTTCAAGTATCTATGGTTATTTATTTTTAATAACAAGAAAATTAGAAAATCGTTCCATGTGAAATGTTTAGATTTACGGAATATCCAATATCGAAATAATTTTAACTTCGAACTCTCATACAAAATTAATGTGAGCATCTAGTAATTTTTTTTGGTTAAGGTATCCCTATGATAGGTCTTGTAATACATTTTCAAAACTTAGAAATTAAAATAAGAATGTTTATGAATTTCTAATTCAATACAATTTGCAAATTATTGATAATTCGTAGACGTAAATAGAGGTTGGCTAAGGAGTAACTTAGCCCATTATGAGCCATCGGATGACTACGAGTTGGTTCCCAATTGTCGAATGGTTCCCGGATTGTCTACAAGTAACATAAGAGTTGGTTCTCGTGAGCTTTCATGATAATACAACCTTGTTAAATTAACTTTTCAAATTATTATGATGTAATCAACCAGCAACAACTTCCTTCCCATTTATTCAGACTTAGGACTGTCTAGAATTCAAATAAGTTCGAATAGTTCAAAGTTTCAAACACTATCTAGAATACCAAGGTATGGTTAAAAATGTTGCTCAGTTTAATATATTGATATATACATAATATACGCTACATACGTATTTGTCAGTAATAATAATTGTGCTTGTAATAAATAAGTAATAATAATGTACCTAATAATAAGTTATAATGGGTAAATAATATTTGAAAAAAATTACGGTGGTTATGCAACACATTTTTAACGAACTGTAGGTTCGAAAATTTGGCCCTCTTTCAATTTTTTAATATTTTTGTCAATAAACTTTTCCTTATCAGTAATTTTTTTTTACTTTAATTTAATTGAGCTTCTTTATATATGTTCCGCATTACACCACTTTTAATTGTTCAATCAATAAAAAAATATTTGGGTGGGCGGAATAAAATTTAGAATTCAGTTTTCCATGAAACGATTCGCAACAGTTTGTTGTTCGTTCTGAAGTGGCTGAAAAATGTGCCCAAATTGTTGGTGAAAAATCACTATCATTTTAAATATAATTTTCAAGTACACGATCAAAAAATGTATCAAGTTTTTCATGTACTGGTTTTAAAGCCATCAACTCAACATAAACGTTTTGTATTATATCAGGTGGCAATAGAGGTAATCCGAAAAATTATTTCAATACTACTGCAAAACCTCTGAATCTTTATTTTTAAATTTATCTGAAAGTCCTAGAGATCGAATTTTTCTCCACCACACCTGTCCTAAGTGGAATCTACATCCTCTTCATTTAGACTGTGGCCAAACTTCAGATACTGCCACAATTTTTTTCGTAAAAAGCTTCTCCTGGTAATTAGGAAAAATTAAAAAAAAATTTAAGCCAAATCGGCCCAGCCGTTCTCAATTTATGAATAGTTATACATTTTTGGCTCCATTTTTATATATATAGATGAAAAGGTGAAGATATAATATACTGGTTGATTATTTTTCATTAAAAATAGTTTATCATTAAAAAAGTACAATTGTTTTTGAAATCTTTTTTACTTTTTTGAATGACAACTTACGGTTTTAATTTCATATTCCAAAACGGAATACTTTTCTAAGTATTTCGATACACAGAAATAGAATTTAGGACAGTATAGTTGGTACTTTATGAGTTAAGTATTTACAGTATTGATGAGCGGAGTGGAGTACCTATGGTACGCGGTAACCTTTAAAATGTGGCCCACTGATCCGATCATATGCTACCATAACCCTTTTCATAACATAAATTCAGTTCCTATGTATTGAAATACTCAAAAAAATATTTTGGCATTTTGCATTCAAAGATGAAATTTAAATTGTATGTTGTGAATCAAAAAGGTAAAAACTTACCAAATTATAAAGATAAAAAATATAAAAACAAAAAAAATACTGTTTTGTAAGGACTTGAAACCATGTAAAAAAAATATTTTCACAAACATTTATACTTTTTGAATAATAAGTTTTCAATGATAAATGATTCACTCAGTATATATTTTATAACTTGACAAAACCTTTTTTTCTTAAATTAAATGTACACACTACACAATAATACAGTACATATAATTAATTTACATATTTTATCATGGATTCAGTTATGTGTATGTGGTTGATGAAAGACGAATCTGCCACTCTTTTTGTTCTTCAAACCTTTCGGCCTCTGTATTTCAGAACTCTATTTACGTCTAGGTCAGTGTTATGTAATAATTATAATCCATTGATTTATATTACACAGCCACGGCATTTCAACAACTGTGGACCACGTACTCGTGGCAGATTTACGAACAAAACGATGGCGAAACACCGCAAACGACGTTCGAATGCTGTGCCGACTGTTCCGGGTCGGACGGCGAAAAAGTGCCATTGCGGCGGTCCACTTGGTCGCCGCCGACTCCAGGACCGCACCATCGCCGCCGCGCGCCGCCGTCCATCGCAGTTCACGGGTCCGCCGTCCACCCGACGCCGCGGGACGCCAACCGTCGATCGCCGGTGCTGTCGGTGGACGTAGCCCGGCGGTGGTGGATGTCCAAATTATCGGACGCGTTGAGGGCAATAGCGTTTTTCGCGACACTGGCCACCGTGGCCTCGGTGCCCATACTGATCGTGGTTTACCGCGGCCGGGCCATCGGGTGGCTCATGTCGTCCGTGTTCCACCAGGACGGCGTCGGCGGCGACGGACGGCCGCCGCCAACGGTAACGGCGGCCAGCCACGACGACGACGACACCGCCGACCACCACAGGCACCACAGCTTCTTCCTGTTGAACTACACCAACAGCGGCGAGCTGAGCAGTTGGAAGACGGTCGTGGCCGCCGCTTGCGCCACATTCGTCCAGCTCACCGCCATCGTGGCCGTCCACCGCGGCTACAGTAACGTGGCCGAATGGCTCACCAAGTACTCTTATCGCTCGGCGTACAACCCACGGTACCAGAGCCGTTACACCGTCTACATGTCTTGCTTCGATTCCGCCAATTATTATTCCAGCTTGGTTTACATTGCTTTTTTCAAGGTGAGTGGTGAAACAATGCAAATAGTCACCTAAACTTGATACTTCGTAGTTGTCACTATCGCAAGGGGTATATTATGTTTAGATATTCACCACTATCTGCACCTAGATCGAGTGTTGTGAATATGAAACTTCAAGTAGTAGCTGTGCCAACAAAAATTGATTACCTAGAATATATTATAATGTGGGCCGCACTAAATGAATCATACAAAACAAATAATTGTATTTATAATATTTGTAATTTCCTAACTGGGTGTTTAAATTGAAAAAAATCGAATCAACCATCCATTAGATATTATTTATTATTTTCCATTGACCCTGGTGGTCGAGGTCAAAGAAAAAAGATTTGAGTCGTCAAGAGTCACGTGTTTGACCATGTCTGACCTAGAATCATCATGAGGTGTCCATTGTGAATATCCTCATATAGTTGACTTCATATAAAAATACTCGCATCACACTGTAACAGTATCATATTATAACAATGAAATATAATGTAATATAGGTCTTATTATATCAACACAACTATGTCGAAATTATATTTAAAAATATTTTCGTTCTTATTCTTGCTTTCGTATCCGGTCTTTTTTTTTTTGCTGTTTTATTTTATCCATCTACTGTAGTACTGCTAGTAAGTTGCCAATTTTATAGAATTGTAATTGATATAATGCATTTATTAAATATGCAGCTTACTTTACCTAATAATTTAACTGTTCATTTATTGCAATACAATTTGTGAAAACTGAAAAGTCTATTCAAATGTAGCATGAAATTTCATTTTGTGATTAAGCACAAACAATAATAACAGTATGCTTACTTACATATACATATACTATACACACATTATAAAGGTAAAATGGTTAATGTTATTTGTGGTGTTTACTTAGGGTCGCTTCGTATCTGGACACGGACAACACTTGGATAGTTCGTCCAGATTCACACATTTTTGGCCCATTTCTATGTTTCGAAGTGTTATGCATCATATTAGAGAAGATGTTTGCGATCCTGCTGCTGCAGGAACAGGATGCGTGCCAGAGCTGTGTACCCAATTGGCCATTATAATGGTGGGCAAACAACTGATAGACAACGTGATTGAGTTGACGACGCCGTTAGTCATATGAATCTATTTGTAAAAATTAATAAATTTCAATAACTATATAGTTATTGAATTGATGAATCACAGGCTAACATTGAATGTATGGCGCCGATGGCGGGCTAAAGAGAGCCGCCGTCGAAATAAATTGCATGGAAAACTGCCGGACTCTATCGCCGAAACACTCAAACACCCGAAACAATGGCAACTCGACTATCAGCTGGAAGATACTGGATCGTTGGGCCTTTACCAGGAATATTCGGAGATGGGTACAAACCATAGAGTAAAAAGAATTTTACAAAAACACCCACTTAATATTTTTATAGATTCATGTGGGGCACCGAGGCTTAGATACCTAATAAATTAGTTGATGGCTTAGAGCGGTTACTCTTGTAACCTTGTTGTAACCTACTCGTCCTTGAAGATTTCACGTTATTTACGTCTTTGGCGGATAATTGGTATATCCGTGTATTATAATCACGGGCTTTAAACATTTCGAAAAAATTGACATTAATATAACAATTTTTACCTAAGGAAACCTATCCAACCTTGTAATTAGGTGTCAATATTCAATATATTATTATTATTTATTTATTTATTCGTATGGCAATAATAGAAAACAAATAAAAATATTTATGATAATTATAACAATATTATTATGATAATATTTACGGAGTACCCAGAGCTTACTATATTCATATTAAAAATGTAATTATGTCTTTGATCTAGTCTTAATGAAAGCTGGTGATGGTTAACCATCACCTATCAAAATATCCTTATAGATAGTGGGATTGTATTATAAATTATTATTCAATTTTGTTAATGTACGTGCATACCCAACTAAATTAATCGCTTAGGGTATTTAAGGATGAAAGATAACATGATTTAGTATTTTGGCAGGAAACAATTTATTTCTTGTGGATTTAACAAAGCCAGTAGAGTTGTCATATTTCGGCTCGTTAATAAGTTATAGACGAGAATGCGTAAAAATATCGTTGACTTTTTGTCATAGGTGGCTCACTATTACCTATGCACTCGGAGGGCGGATGATGCACTATTAAAATGCATTGATTCCTACGTTTATGTATCTATTTTATAGTCATTCAATACGGATTTGTGGTCATGTTCACAACGGCATTTCCACTGGCTCCGTTGTGTGCTCTGTTAAACAATGTATTAGAGCAACGTCTAGACGCGTTCAAAATGGTAGCAGCTCAGCGACGTCCAGTCCCCTCCTACTACTGTGATAATAAACAATATATTAATAACGTCATCCGAGGACACATAACGTGTTGTGATAACTGTAACAAGCTGTGCACGTGGATACGAGTGTTGAAGATTATGTCATTAATATCAGTACTGTACAACGTAAGTAGTTATACACTTACATTATACTGGTTGGTTAGTAACCTGGAAAGCCTTACCTATTTGAAATAGGATTTAACCATTACAAAAAAGTTCTTTAAAAAAAGATAATTTTTATTAATATTAAATTCAGACATTTTTGAAAATAGGTAGCCCAACTTAATGTCAACTTAATTACTTAAATTTTGATTGATCATACGTTTATCTGAATTAGGCATTTATGATTGCGTTTACCAGTGACTTGTTACCTCGATATGTGTATTCTCAAATCTCGACCGGAACGTCGTCTTCGTTGGAGGGTTACGTCGCTTGGTCTTTATCCTCGAGTACGTCAAACGTCACGTTATCGTCCAATATAGAGTAATATGTTACTTATAACATACATTTTACCTCAATGTCTAGAGAGAAATGTGACTGAATACTATTACGGAGAATTAGAAAACATAGATGGACCTGAAACATGTCGGTACAGGGGATACGGAGCTGATGCTAATTCGGAACACAATGACTACAGAAAATGGCAAGTGTTGGCTGCTCGGCTAGCGTTTGTCGTGATATTTGAGGTATGCATATAAACTTAAAACTCGAGCACACAAGGTACACTGGTACACAGGTACAAATGTACTTAAGTCAGGTATTAACAAACCTTTATAACTCATGTAAAACACTTACACTTTACAGTGTATGTATTCACAAATATTGTCTGAAGTAATATTTCCATTTGCCATACAACATTTACATTTGAATTAGGTAGATTGATACGTAATTTTAAATGTAATTTGCAAAAACTAACAATTTATAAAATAATTATTTTAATTAATTATACACATATACCTACATACAATAATAATAGGTAGGTCTGCATAATATAAATATATAATACAATAAGTGACAAGTCTATGAGATATAACTATTTATCAATAGGATTAACCTTGATACTGATCTTAGTTAAATAATTACCCATTTGATACAGTATTAATGTAAAATATAACAATAGTTAAAAAATAAATAAAAATAATAGAAAAAAATAATAAGTACCTAGATAGTTGGGTAGTCAATAATAAAAAAACAATGTTCAAAATTAATTTTTTCGATATATTTGTATTCATAACCTTACATATTTTAAGCCAAAATATTTGGACATAATATTCAATTGTTATTTCATTAGGTTTATAACATTAAGGTACATTTATTGAATAAACAAAGACAATCTATAGCTTATTAAGTATAAACTATACAAAGTATAATATTTAATATGAATATAAAGAAATATTTAATTTCAAATTATTATTATTAGATAACTACAGAGTCGTAAAATATATTAGTATAGTATGAATTTATAATGATTTTAATAAATGGTCTATTTTAGCTCTATTAACAGTTAACACTAAATATTTTCGTAATAGAAGATAAATTTGTTTTATACAATTTTAAATCAGTTTGGAAACCAGAAAAAAAAACTTTAGTTTTAAACGTTAGTTTTGAACCTTGATATCAGTTTAGAACTACGTCCCAACATAAAGAGTTGGTGCTTAATTTATGTGCACCAATAAATAATAACTTGTAAAAACATGTAGGTAATTAATAGGACGTAGATACTAAATACATTTAACCATTTTTAAAATATGATTTGAGCTATACAACTACAACTGAACTACCAATATACCGAGTGAATATCTAAATGTAATGTAAAATAAGGTGTGAGGTGCCTACCTAACGATAAATTATTACATTGTTCATGTATACTTTTTTATAATATTCATAATTGTTATGTAGAATAATAATCTAATTTAGAAAAAACTACAAATCAAGTACCTAGATATGCATAACTATAGACTATAGTGTATGTATTATATAGGTAACCAGCACTACATAATATTATGCAAAACACACCTTGAAACTCACCCAGAAATACTCATATCACATTTTTGAAATTTGTTGGAACCTATTTTAGTTGTAATTAAACTGCATTGATTTATTAACACAACGGTCACAGGTTCATCCCTCTCTATCCCATCTCACCTCATCAACGAATAACTCTTGTTCCAAATCCATCCGCTTATTATAGCACCCTGTAGTATATAGGTATATCTATACCTGTTATGTTGTATAAGTATTCAGCTTTTCAGAGCAAATTTATTTTCACCTAGCTTCTACAACATGTGTATCTCGTGCAGGTCTTTTCCATCCCAAAAATCGAGTTCTATAACCAGTCATGGACTGAATTTCATAACCTCTGGAGTTTTAGTATTATAGCATTATGGCATATAGGAAATACCTGCTTAGAAATACCTACCTAAAATACATTTATATGCACATGTACCAACTACATCATACGCGTGTGTCTCGACAGCACTGCGTATTAGCATCCATCGCGGCCCTGGTGTACTTCATTCGGAAAAGGTTCGCCAAATACAAAACTGAAGCGAAGCCAAATGTCGACAGTCCGTCCGGTGACAGATCAGCTGCAAGTGCGACAGTCGTCACTGACTCCTGTGACTATTCGGCGGTAATCTATGCAGCAGATGGCTCTTTGGCTACTGCTCCCGACAAAATGGAGGAAGGAGAGCCTCAGGCGTTCAACAGAAATCCGGTGGCTGTGCCGTCAACCTTGGTAGTAGTCGATATGGAAAACGAAGATCAAGAAAAATGGACGAATAACGAATACTCCTCTCCATCTAGGAGGCACGGACCTGAAGATAGACTGCAGGATTCGCTACGTTTTTCCGCGACTTGACCCGAGTACTTGTATGATATATTATTAAATAGAAAATATTTCTTTAAATTAAACAGTGAAGACTAACATTGTTTACGACTATTCCTATATCCTATAGTCAAAAAGAAATAAGTTTTTGATCTGATTCGCCTCGAAATCCATAGTTTCCACCGTATTCCACAGAATATACCTAGATGTGCTTGGAGATTATTGTTCCTCAGTCCCCAAGGTCCACTTGCAATTAATTGCGAGCTTTTAAATAAATTTGATTTTGTATTCACATCTGCTCGTGGCTAAGACATTGTGCATTATAATACAATAATTTATAACTAATTTCAGCAATTGTATATTTATTTTTTACCACAGTGCTCAGTGCTTTTTCAATATTTTGGTTTAAGAAAAACTATAATAAGTAATCTCTACTCTCTAAAAATACTTTTTGAGAACTTTTGTATATAACTGAGGCAAATACTGAACCAGTTTAAATTATAATATGGTAGTATCTAAGTACCTATTTGAGTTTTCTATGCCTGTTTTTTTTTAGATACGAAAATATTCTGAAAGTTTTATGATAAGTCATACTTATTTAATACCCGACATCTTAGTACTAAACATTTTACCGATATTCGTTGATATAAACGACATAGTTTTTAGGTCCATTACTACAGCACTGCCGTGTTTGACATTTCAAAATTATTCATTAGTATCTACCTATGAACTTTATTTTTAAACAACTGTATACACTTTCTCAAACACGAAAAAACATTATTTGTCTATGTCCGTGCTGCGGTGACGTTCCCCAGCACTCCATTTATTAAATTTTGAACAAATACAATTTGCAATGATACAGTATAATGTATCTTATTTTATACATATACAACTTTGTATAACCAAAAACAAATTTTGTAAAATTTAACAAACGCAATTATTTGTCTGAATAGCAAATAAATCAATTCGAAACTTAAGAAACTAGGCGACATTGGTAAGTGAAAAAGTTTACTTTTTAATAGCTTTTAATTAGTTGGTTAATAAATAGTAACATATTACATAGTAAAATAATATAATATTTTAAGTTATCAAACCAATTTATTATTATAAATAAAAAACAACTATATTATTAATAATTGAATTTTGTTTGACTTTGGGTCGAAATTTATTATAATTATTATTTTCATAACTTACCCAGGTATACCCGCCCTTATCAGTGGCAGTCAAATCATTTTGTAATGAGAAGTAATTTAGCTGATTTTATAACATGCACTATTTGATCATAAAAAGTATAATTTATGGTTTTAAAATCAAAAACATCAAAAATAAGTACATTTAGGTATTTTAATTAGTGTAGAATAATGAGACGGAGATTTTTATACAATAAATACTGTAAATTAATTGATTTTATAATAGGCAACAGCACGTGTACGTAATAATAATTATAAATATTGAAACGATTGCAGGTTATAAAAATGTATTATACTATTTATACTATTATTATATTTTTGATACACTTAATGGTACAACAGCAAATAGTTCCAATGATAATGATTAATGACTAATTTGATTTTAACTTGAAACTTTAAAAAAAATTATTTCTATCATCAATCTATAATGAGAGTAAATAAAAAAAATAAACAATGAAAAAAAAAAATTTTAAAAAATCAAACATAGAAATTATTTATTGTATCACGAACTTAAACCTTAAATCCTATTAGTTGATGGAAGTCCTTGCTGCGAGATTGTTGAATTTCAAAAAAGCTAGATATCACTAAAAACTCCGAAAGAAGTTTCACTTCATACGCAAAACACAACGGTTTTTTTTAAACTTTTGTTTTAATTTCAGCAAGTTTGCGAAAAAAAGGAAGAGATATGTTAGGAATAGTCTTGACTCTTGACGATATAAATGATATAACTATAAACTATATAAGAAACATCACATTCCTATTTTATTGCGAAATTGGAAAATGGTTAGGTTAGGTATCCCTATTACTCAGAAGTTGATGACCTTAAAACAGTTTAAAAATGTCCTATATAAATGCAAATATGACTTAAAATTACAAAAAATTAAATTGTGAAATTGCAAATAGGTACCTAATGGTTTAAAATTAATAAAAATAATTTTTTTTTTAAATGTCTTATACAAATTATAAAAACTTATAAACTACTCAAAATCAGACATAAAATTGGATACAATCATACGTTATTTCCAGCTTTTAAATTAACAACTTTATGGTCGACCGGATGAAATGATAAAAAAAGGAAGCGATTGTAAATTAGTGAGTGTAATAACGAGGTAAATTATTTGATGAATGATATGATTTAATAGTGGGTTTTCAATAAACTTCTTATTTTTCTTCAAAGTATCTAATTAGTAAATTATGTACCTATACCAAAATACAATCAACTTTGTCGAAAAATAAATTCCCGTTTTTGTTTTTCAGACGCATTTGAAAACTCCTCAAACCAATCGGATTTGTATATTTTATCATATATACTTCAAATAGCTAACTATAAAAATTGAATTTGAACGTTAGGTACCTAATTTAATTTGAATTTACCTTTATTTTTATTATTTACTTATTACTTATGTAATTGAATTTTTTTTTTAATTAAATTAAATTTAATATCACATTAAAAAAAATGTTATGTCCATATTACTATAAAAATTTGACTACAATGGGTAAAGAAGTTACTGCAGACCCGGGAGAGCTTAGTACCTTACCTAAATGTATTCGTTAGGTTCCTGGTACTGAAGTATACCGGGGATATACTTACCACTTACCTATGTTATAGTACCTAGGTGGCTAGGTATATAAATAGGTACCTACCTACCTAGCTGAGTACTGAAAACTGAAGTAGGCCGAGGAGGCGCATACTAGTAGTCTTCCGAAGTCCAGAAGTTAAAAAGGTCGATCATTTGTAAACAAATTGCCTCCTGGTGGACCTTACATTTTTATCGTAAACGAAAATGGTCTAGTAAAGGTACCATGGATTTGTTGCTAAAAACATGGGAGGTAAGTATTGACCCATTCGGGAGCTAGCAATGCCGGCTGGTAAGTCACTACACTTAGAACGTTTCCCCAACCAACGCCTCACCAATTATATTATTATTTTTAATAGTTGTATACTTATGTAGGTAGCTATAATTTATATTAATGTAAATGTTTTTTTTCCACCTTAGCCTCACTAAAGGTACCTACATAAAATAAAAATTGTTTTGTTAGTGATGTGCTCATATGAATCAAATTCGTTGTTGGTTTCCAATTACATAATGGTATGTAATTATATTTATATGAACAAGTAAAAAATATTAAAAAACTAATCATTACATTTTTAATTTTTATAAAACAATGTATCATAATCTTCTAGCATGCTATAATTTTATGAATAATACTAGTAAGTCTGTATAATAGTCTTCAAGACAATGGGCTAGTGTAATAACCCTTGGTTTGTCCTTTTGAAATCGTTATGAATGAGATTATTCATAGCATTCAAAAAGACATTAGATAGGAGACAGATTTTTTTATTTATATCATATTTATGTTTGACAGCTAAAAGGTAAATATAGTTTATAGATGTGTAGCACATGTAGCAAGCCTAGTTAAAGCGTATGACTAACAAATAAACATAAAAAAAAAATCCACTTATCTATAATAAATAGGAATTCAGGGGTAAATTTAGGTTTAAAAAAATAAAAATTGAAGAAAAAAAAGCTTTAACCTTTTTAGACATGGCTTCTTAAATATTAGCTAGTAAAGAAAAAAATCAAAAACACCTTCACTGCCACAAGCCCACCAGCGACCCAAGTGTTGTCTTTTATTGTAAAGCCACCTAGGTTGTCCGCTGTCAAATTTAACATCAACATACAACTAAACCTTTATGGCTTGGAGACCATAATATTTAACATAAACCATGGAATAAAAAAAAATTCTCTCACTGTGTGGTATTACACACACTTAAACAACTTGGGTCGCCAGCAGTCAATAAGCTAATAAAAATAATCAATTCACAATGTTTAACATTCAACTTTTTCATCAATGTGGAACAGAAATATAATATTTTAATCAATCATTTTTTTTTATTTTAAACAATTTTTAAAAATATATCAAATATAATAATAGTTAACTTTAATACTAATTATTTTAGTTTTGGTTGTCATTCTTGAAGAAAAAAAATTATTTTTTTAACTTCAATTGATTTCTTATTGATTTCCAACTTGATGGAAACTTTCGAACATCACACTCGTATAAACGATTTCCTTTAAAGAGAGCTTTAATATCAATTACATAAGAAGATTCTTCAATTTCACCATATGTTAAATATTTCTGAAATACACAAACCACAAACATTTAAATATTATAAGAATCTGGAATAAAAAATTACATCATTTTCAATTTCAATCATTTATAATTGCTTTCAAGATAAAAATAATAATCTGGCTCAGCAACAAAACCAATTCCAAAAGAAAAATGTTCAAAATTGTTTTTATTATTTTTTATTGTTTATTAAAACAATGGTTTATATATTTCATAAATATGCTATTCTAGAATTTGCATTTAGTTCCAGTGCAAATATTTTAACATTTAATTCAAAGTATATGTAATGACATTGAGTATATAATATTTAAATTATACTCAAGGGTAGTAGGGTACTTTTTATAATTAAAAATAAAGAAAATTAACTTCATCACAATTTATAGCTTAAACAAATCATTAAAAAATTAAATTAATTTCAGTTCACCAATATTAATAAACATACCTTGGTAACATTCATTTCAAATGAATTTTTCTGTCGCGTTACAAACTGTCTTAGATTTGATAAGTTTCTTTTTGAAAACCATCTTTTATGTACAATCTTTAATATCATTGGCAACAAGTCAGATAAATTCTTTTTTTTATATTTTGCTCGAGTTTTACTACTCTCTTTCAAATTCTTGTAAATATAATCTATTTTTAATACCAGAAATCTATATAAAAAAAAAGGTTAGTAATATTTATAATAAGTTTCAAACTTATGTTACAGTTACATCAACATTTTCTAGCTTTGTCTCGTATACACATGAAACATCACAATAATTTATTAGTGTCATAGTTTT